GGGCAGCTGGTCAGCCCCGCCAACACTCAGCATTAGTTGTCACACCTTCAAGACGGGCCATCTGCACCAATTCACAAACCCATCACTCGCCGACCGCGACAACCTGTGCAACTATACCTGTGGTTCAAGTAGTATGTCCGAGGTCATTGTCCCAAAGAAGAAAGACGGCGCCATGGGAGTCGGTATTAAGAGAGACTACCAAGGCAAAGAAAAGGGCAAGAAGGATGCAGCACCGCCAGCCCATCCCCCCAATGCCTACACCTCCATGTTCGAGTCGTTCCGGGACGAGCTCGACGAGCACCACGACCGCCGCCAGAGGATCGGCAAGGTGTCGCGGGATGTCACCGCCCTCAGTAAGAAGATGTAGGTCTCCATCCCAACTACAAGTAGCAAAGTGGCTGTTTAAGAAATGGCCATGCTAACCATTGATTTTCTTGGCTATCTAGTATATTCTCACTACAACGGTAACATCTCGTTTCTCTTTTGTTTACATATTATCTTCCCCATTATAGAGTGCATCTATCATCTATGGACCTCATCTCTCTTTCATTACCCCTCATGATATTTGCAGTGACTAACACAAACCAGCGTCCGGAAGCTCTCCCAGCCCATCCCAGAGCGCATCCAGACCGAGATTGACGGGCGTCTAAAGGAGATTGCCGAGCTTCTCAAGACCATCCAGCCAGATGTGCAGGGAATGAACCGTTATCGGTACCCGCTAATCTGCCTTGAGGAGTTCGTCGAGGCCGTGTCCTTTGCCCACTACCTCCGCCATCAAACACTGATGACTGCCGCCGAGGCCCAGGCCGCACTTCCCGTCGACATCCAGATGACGGCCCCGGATTACGTCTTCGGCATCTTCGATCTCACGGGGGAGATGATGCGCTTTGCCACGGCCGTCACAGCGCTGAGCGGGAGCATGCCCACTGGCGAGATTTCCTCCTCTTCCCAGGAGGGCAAGGAGGCGGCCAGCGATAAGGAGAAGAGAACGATCCTGACAGACATGCAGGACGTAAACTCACTGCTACACATCTGCCCAACCGTGGGCCGGTATGGCATCTACTCCAAGAAACTGAGCATCATGGTCGAGCAGGTGCGCAAGGTCGAGCGCCTGGGCTACGGCGTCACCGTGCGCGGCAACGAGCGGCCCAAGGGCTGGATGCCGGATCTCAACGAGGGATACCCCGGTGGTGGTGGAGACGGCGAAGATGTCACAATGGGGGACTGAAGACACTCACTCCTTCCGCATCTGTCTATCTCTCTCTTTGCATGCTGTGACCTACCCTCGTGGGGGTTGGTTTGTTTACTCGGCTTGTTTTCCCCGTTTCATGTTGCACCTTCTCTCGCTCATCACGGCTCCATCTATTCATAGAATTATCTATAAGTCGGCAAAATGATGCTTGTGTCGTGCAACTAAAAAGGAAAAGGGGTGGCAGATGGTATTCATACTATGTTGTTATGAGCCACAGCTTAGATTACATTTGTACATTAAAACAATGAAGTTATGTTGATGATATAACGTAAGATTCGGCTAATAATGACTTCCTGGGAGGACAAAATTTAATAATGGTAATAGAAGAAGTAGGTTTTCTACCTGCTGAAAATAAGAGTGTTTAGTTTTGTTACGTCCTATGACATCATAGGCTGAGACCCACTAAATACTGTACACTAGTCAAAACGGATCACAGGGAGCCATGGAGCAGATTCCATCTCCTCTACATGTTGCAACCAGGCTCCTTTGAATTCCATCAAAAACAGGTAGTCTACACATATCACTTGGCTAGAGGACGCGCGGAGAGGTTATTGGTTGAACGCATGTATTGGGGGGTGAGCCTCTATTTGAGCCCTAAAACGCGCTCCGCGAAGCCGGCCGCCTTAGGACTCGAATAGCTGCCCAGACTAAAAAGCAAAAGCCTATATAACCTATCCTCCCTTCCTTCCGTCCGCCCTATAGGCAGCCACTCGCCCCGAGGGACGGTGGGTGGGTTAAAAACCTCCCGACCACCACTAAAAACCACCCCCTTCGTGGGAGGTGGAAAGCGAGGTGACGGAGGAAAAACCCAGACGCGCGAATACGCGGCAAAGGCGACCCTTATAAGGGGTCGCCAAGCCGCGCTAGCCAAGTAGGTAAGTAGAACACATTATCTACACATATCACTTGGCTAGAGGACGCGCGGAGAGGTTATTAGTTAAACGCATGTATTGGGGGGTGAGCTTTTATTTAAGCCCTAAAACGCGCTCCGCGAAGCCGGCCGCCTTAGAACTCGAATAGCTGCCCAAACTCACCCCAAATACTGTTGTTTATTTTGGTCAATACTCTCTAGGCCTTTGTAGGTATGCCCGGGGGGCCAGCCACCTACTAGGGCCTAAGTGTGTGTAGGGTAAGGACTAAAAACCTCCCGACCACCACTAAAAACCACCCCCTTCGTGGGAGGTGGAAAGCGAGGTAACGGAGGAAAAACCCAGACGCGCGAATACGCGGCAAAGGCGACCCTTATAAGGGGTCGCCAAGCCGCGCTAGCCAAGTAGGTGAGTAGAACCAGGTCGGATTTTGGGACATGACATTCTGCTATCCAAACATGAACCTAAACCGCTTTAGGGAAATCCCCACATATATCTGTCGGCTGCGAATAATCTATACAAATTAGGTTAGAACTACAAAAATTAAAAAATAACAGTCTAGTTGCGTAGTCGTAATTAGCTGTAGTTGCAGGAATTTATAGTGCAGTATTTGCATTGCAGTATTTGCAGTGCAGTGCAGTATTTGCAGCGCAGTGTAGTGTAGTGCAGTATTTGCAGTGTAGTGCAGCATTTATAAGTGCACCGGCAAGTAGGCAAGCAGGTATAAGTGTAGAGCGCTGCGGCTAACGCTGCAGACTGTATGTTTAAGCTGATTTTTTAGGAAGACTAGGGTACTGCTAAGGTCTACTGCAAACCTTATACAAATTTAGTTAGAATTAGAGCAGATAAAGGCATAGGTCCACTCCTTGCCTAAAAGGGTTTAGGTTCATGTTTGGATAGCAGAACGTCATGTCCCAAAATCCGACCTGGAGTAGAACACATCAAATCGTGCAATATACACGTTTTCTACTATAGGAGTCAATTAATACGAGTTTCGCTGGCCCTCACAAGTTTATAGCGTAAGAAGCCGATTTTCAATCTTCAGCTTGCTTGGGGTCCTATGATGCAACGGGGGATTTGGGAATAACGATTACAGGTTGTTACCCGGGACACCTAATGATATGGCAGTCTCCATGAGGTAAATTAGATACCTTCCTGTAGGTAAACGCAATTGTTACCGTCATGATCATTGCTGAGCCGTTCGCCCTAATGAACGCTGGCGTCTACACGTTACCTCCTAACCTACCTACCTATGCAACACGGCCTAGATAGAATACTTGGAATCTCAGATATCAAACAAGGTTGCATGTGGCAGAGGGTTACAAATCCCCCCCCCTCCCCCCCCCACTCCCCCCCCCAATCGGAGGTCTGACAAGGGCTTACGTAAGGGCTTGGAACAGTGTTCGTATTCAACTAATAATTCTCTTTGGGTCTAAAGGGTCCTTTGGCTACCTCTGATCGAAGACCGCCTCTGTGAGTCTCTCCAAGCCCCGTGATAATCGCCAACCCATGGTTGCGGCTCCTTGAGGCTGTATGTCTGGCCGGAGGCTGGCAGGCGTAGGTCTTGGCCGTGTGACAAGAGGTGCCTTATTGAATACCGGCTAAACAGGGGGGGGTTCTACACAAGCAACTAAAAGGCGAGATACATTTTGCGGCATTAGTCGACGTGCAATCTGGGAACTGATGGTAAGTGCATTGTTGGTTAACTATGAAACGAATGACGAGCCGACTGATATGAGATGAAAATGTTGAAACGACGTTAAATGTGCTGTGTGGCGAGCAAGTTCAAGCGGAGCTAGCGGGTTGCAACGATATCTTTGGGATCACGAAGGTGTCTTTGGGCATCGCCATGGCAGACGGATCTCTAGCTCAGCTATAGAGATGACATAGTCTCGATATGCCTTGTGAGGTGGTTACTTCGAACTTGAGTTTTAGACTATAGGGAGTAATGATGAGTGATCACCCCCTATATAGTATAATAGGATCAATCACGGCGAACCCTTTTCTTGTTTTCTCCGTGAGAGTACCACCCTCGAGAAAGGTGCGATTTAGTAAAGCTACTTTCTTGAAGGAGCCATCAATATCATTCGTGTGATTACGCCTTTGTCACCTCCTGACATCTTTGTTTCCGACTATGGGATCACCTCGGAGACTAGGAAAAAGAATCGATACGTATGAGAACTGTTTACGGGAACTTATACTTGAATATTGCGGGGTGCCATACGGATCGCTTCCCTACTCATTCTGTGCCCAAAAGTGTGGCCAAATACATTCGCCAGCAGCCTTATCGATTCCGGTAGGAACTACACGGATTAAAATAACGGGCAGGCGCTTTTAAGTCGGGACTGGCTTTTCCAAGAGCGACTTCTCTCTCCGCGCATAGCTTATTACGACGCCAATGAGTTAAAATGGGAGTGTAATATGACGACCGACTGCTGATGTGGCGGCGTGAACGTCATCTCAAACTTCAACGTTGATTATATGGCTGCCTGAGAAGATCCTCGTGGGCCAGGAGCATTAGCTATCGAGTAGATGATCCTTGTACAATTACTCCCGCTTAGGCTTGACATATGACACCGACCGCCTGGTAGCTATCGCCGGTATAGCGGATCAAGTGTTGAAGTCGGGGTACGGCGGAAGATACCTCGCGGGCTTATGGCTACAGAAAGATATAGGCGAATAATGAGAGGATGTCGCCATGCCAATTATACCTCCCCAATATCTTACATCCAGCATATAGTTGCTATGTTATCTTAAGATTGAACCTGAGCTGGATTACGCGGCTGCAAAAGGGGCAGTTGTCAGTGTGGCAGGGGCATGGCGAGTGGGGTTGGTCAATGTGACGAAGAACGCTCAATGCGACAACGCATCTACTTTCTGGCGTGATGGCCGAGTGGTTAAGGCGACAGGTTTAAGCTAGTCATAAATTTCTGTTGGGGAGACCCGCGCGAGTTCGAACCTCGCTCACGTCAACTAATTTTTTTTCTCTTCTTATAAGAAAGAAGTGTACGAAGTACAAGTTCGGAGTAATAAATTCTTTTTTTCCCGCTTGCACTGCTACCCTGTAGTGGAGATACAGATCATTAAAGTAGGGGGGTTCCATTCCCGACGATCACACTGCTACGATGAGTCAGCGGAGCTTGTTCGATTTCTTGCCAAGTTACTGTAATAGGGGCACATACAAGGAAGCCCGATACTCTTCTACTGTAGGAATTTTGTCGCACAATTGGCGGCAATTGATTAATTTGAGAGCGTACTTCGATGGTAGCGGTCTTATTTTGTTCGTAAACTTGGTGTGCCTATCGTCAAGGCTTCAGCAGACTCTATCCCGCCAAGAAGCTTCAGACCAATACTTAATATAAACCTATATACCGCTCAATACAAATTCTAATTGAATGTTTAAATTAGCTAGTGAATTTATTATAGAATAAGATATTTTGAAATTAAATAAAATAATACGTATAAGTGACCTAGGGGTGGTAACTATATAAGTGGCTACCTAGGTACTTTGGCTGTCCCTGCAGTGGGTGAGGGATGGTATACATGATGAAGTCAAGCGTGGATGGTCTCAATATAGGAAGAATAAGAAGCAAAAGCACAAAAAATGTATTCCTATTTAAGATTCACCTACTTTACACTGCCATTCTCGACCAATCCGCCAAAATCTCTAACTAAAACTAGGCATGTCGTAATTAGGATAAAGGTTAGCAAGTATACCTACAACCGTTGATGCTACTATTCACCACCATATGTCCGGCCCAGTGGAATTAAGTTGCTGGATATTGATGCTGAAAACTGCACACACGAAAACAAGAGGTACGAACAAGGTTCCCAACTGTGCAAGCTTTTCCACTCCGCGCGCTTCTGTCATAGCCTAGTAATGCTTCCATGAAGCATATGGGGTCTGCAGGCCTTGAATATACCTCTTGAGGACCTGCTGATAATACAAAAGATTGGATAGAGTAGAGTTATCGCGACGTATAAGACGAGTATGCTCGAGCTCGTCTCGGGTTTTAGTGTTGATCAAGTCTAGGAACTCCATGTCGGAGGAGGCAACGAAATTGAAAAGGGGGTCAATGCATAAAACACATCATATGCCGCTCGGGAAAGATCTATGTTCTGGGAATACTCATGGAAAATGAGCTACGTTCTTGTTGGTCTCCGAGGATTCACGACCGGAGCTTGTGTTTTCTTTTTCTTACGTCTCAAGGCGATGCTAAAGGTGGGATGAAGGGGACAGATACGATATTCCGAACATGCTTAACACAATCTCGCCCGCTTGCCAAGAGTGTTTTGGCTTCATCGTCCCATACGACAGATTACCCAGATTAGTTTCCACTTCAATCTACTACTTAACATGTCTATGTTGGTACTATGAGTAGTATTCTGACGTACCTATCTATCCATGCCCCGAAGGATTTATTGCTAACGACACAGTATGCTCAAGTGAGAAGTAATCAAACCCATGCAGTGAAAACTTGCGAACGATTGAATCGCCAACTACCGCATGTGGATGATTTAAGCTCGCGAGCTTCTCCATGTAGCTTGCCATTTCACCAGAGGTGTGTCTCCCGACATCATCAAGGCTGATTGAGTCACGGATGATTGTTTGGCTTGTCTGGAAGCTGTTACAGTCAATTATATTACCCTCACTTGGTCTACCGTATGTATGACAGATGGCCCTACTCTTACCTCCATAACTCCTTCAAATCTAAATAAGTTCAATTCACGGGCTATTCACTTCTAACATGAGTGTCCACTGCTAGGTATATTGATACTCGTCTTAGACCTCTCCACCTCTCATCCCCTCCTTCCGTACCACGTTTATTTCAGCCACGAGCAAAGTTTCGGCATGTAAACTAACGCTCGCAACGCATTTACCTCTGTTATCTTACCTTTTTGATTTCGTCTCTTGCTTGTTTACTAGAATTCTGATCTCGATAAAATTGGAGAATACTATAGTTTCTACTTCATGAAACAGCGATTGTCGTTTGCCATAGTCGATCACATCATGAAAGAAGTGAATACTCATCTCATAACCATCATTGATGGAGAGAAAATGGAAACATCCGCGATCCCACGGCCACTGAAGTGGGACGCTCTGACAGCTTTATCACTTGACTGATAGTTCTGAGAAGTTGGAAATCTGTTCTAGGTGCCCCTACGACATTAGCAACCACGGGTAGATCCTCAATCTTTTGAGTGATTCTGGACTTGTATGGGACATCTCCAATGGGCACAACTATGTCAGGGGCTCCCAAAATCGGCGATAAGAACAGTTCGTCCAGCGCGGACTGCTCGTCGGGAGATGAGGATACTACATCGCGATAGTTGGGCATTGCGTTTGCAACAGGGAGGACAACCAGTCTTTGGTGACTCGGAAATAGAGTGCCCATCAGCCAGTCTTTGTAAACATCTAACTTCTTCGTCGCATCATCATGCTGAGCCGTGGTGACAGCTGCCCCCTTATCCCACCGACGGCCAACGAAAGGTATTACATAAGGTGGCTCTCCGTTATAGGAGGCGGAGTACTCTTTGCGGAAGCTGTCCGTTGAATGATAGAAGGCATAATAGTATGTGTGTGTGATGACATCTCTAAGGTATTCATCAACTCTTTCGGGGAGTCCAGTGGGACGAGTATTTTTCCAAGTATCTCGGATAGATATCTTTGTGAGAGTAGCCGGAAGGTGTGTTAACATGTCCTCTATAAACCCGTTAATTAATGCCATTTGATCTGGGTTGCTGACCGGGAGATATTCTTGGAGGAAGACGATTTCGTAGGATGGGTTGACGGTATAGCTAGCCTGTTCTGTTGGAATCCATGATTGCAGAATCCTGTCGAGATGGCCAAGCTCTCTCGAAAAAATGCAAGGGGTATCAAAACGAGGATACGTAGCAACCATCCCGTCAGAGTCCACAAGGTCGTGAGATGGGCGAAATTGCCACACTCCATTTACCATGGCTGGCCGTCGACCGCTCCCGCTTGTGTCTGAGCCCAGTGCACAGTCAAGCCAAGGATACGAGGCGACGGCAGCGGCGGACCCGCTACTGCTTCCAGCTGGGGACTGGTAGCCGTCTCCTCGTGGATTGAACGCTGTTGGAAAGTCGACTGCATCCATCGGCTCTTCGCGTGCAATCATTGAGCTTAGCTTTGTAAGGCCCAGAACAATCGCGCCGTCCCGAACGAGCGACTCGACAACAGCGGCGCTTGAAGCGGCTTCGTCACTAGTATCGTAGAATGAGAGATTGTTGAGCGAAGTCTTCAGCCCTTTGACCCGGTAAAGGTCCTTCACTGCTATACGTAAACGACGTTGAGTACCGGTGGCATTTCCCGCCGTCCTTGCCGGGACTGCGATAGCGAGACGGTCATATGATGACCCTGCTATTTTCAGTTGAGAGTACGCGGTCTGGTCGGCCCTGATATTACGTTAGAATGTGGATATAAACGTTCAGTAGCCCACTGGTTGCTTACCAGTGTAATTTGGGGCTGATAGCAGTCAAGAATGCCCGTTGTTTGTCGTCATACAGGCGACAGACAGGCCTCAATGCGTTCTCTGAATAGAGGTAGGGGCCGGGGGGTAACCGATCTCCCAGGTTCTTCTCATACCTGAGATCCACCCACGAGTTCCCGAGCTCTACGAGGTGGTTACGAAACCCCATGGTAAGGGTCTGCCCGGCTTCGAGAGTGGTGATTATGAGGCCCGCCAGAAAATGCCGCCTGGTATACACGTCGCAATCTTCTAGTTCAGTCAAGCATTCGTCAAGCCATTGTGTCGTGACGGGGCAGTTCTCGTTCGCAGCGACGACAGTGACGAGGGAATGTTCAGCGCCGGCTTTGGTACTTGGGTTGAACTCGACGTCAAGTAAGCAACCTAAGCACGATTAAATTGCAGAAAAGACTTGACGTACTGGAATAGCATCCAAGGCTACATATCGTATTGAGTCGCGTTCGAAGAATACGTTAGGTTCTCGAAGTGAAGGAGACGAGCGCGGAAACGCGTTCGTTGCAAGACGCTGGGGTCTCGGCGTTTGCAGTGCGCCATCAAAGCAAGACCAAGCTGGACTCATTTTCAACCCATACTTATTCCTTGCTATCTTCGAGAGAGCAATAGTCGGGTATATTATTGTAGTTTAAAACCAATTAAGCATCTAAACCCAAGCAGTTGTTAGGCGGAGAGAATCCAGCTGGTCTTTCCAAGAAGGTAAATAAATAGAGGTGCACACACCTCCAAGTGTGTGTGTCCTGCGCCTGCGGCCACACACACCTCTTAACAACAACAACCACCAATACAGACACCCATACACCAAATAGCGCCTCTACCCGTAGGGTCTTTTGGCAAAAGTCTTAGGTACCCATGGGCCTTTTAAATCTTGCCAGCCCATTGGCTCTTGTTCAGAAACAATGAGCTTTCTCCAGGTACCCATGGGTACCCATAGTCCAACCTTAGGTCTACGTGCGTGTGACACCATTGAAGTCGAAGTCCTACAGTACTGGCTAGGTAGTGCAAAATGTAAACGAAATAATAAATTTATAGAAGCCAAGCTATCGTACCATAGCACGTTTAATATAAAACGGCAGGATGAGTTCTTTGGTATTCCTGTATAGAGAGGGTTGAATACAACGCGTATCCCCTTGATATTCAACCGGGGAAACACCGTCGTAGCATTTGAGTTGTCTGATTATCCTCGATCCCCAGGTTCTAGTTTCCATCAATGGACCCGCGATACGTATGGTAGTTGTTCCATCGGACAGTTTTTGGAATTTCAAATAGTGGTGTGGCGGCTGAATAACCCATAAGCAGCTTCCTACCAAAGATGCAATGGTTCCCCAATCAGAAAGGAGCTTTCATTTATCGTATAATGGGTATGGCTGCATGATACTTTGCATAATCCCTTACTTTTAGCATGATCCCTGGGCGCCGACCCCACACGGAAAGAGGAAACCCATCACCACTCAAACCTGAAGGAATGC